ATTTGTGATGCCTAAGAAAGCATCTCAGAGATGTATGGCTTCGTGTAACACTCCGTTGTCGCATCAGATTGAGCGATTCCCTAGAAATTGGCTTCGCTGAAACCATGGCCTAATTTTGACCTGCCATAGGTCAGCGACCTTACAAGGTAAATCTAAATTTTTAATGCCAAACGATCCAAATTTAATGCCAAACTTTGAGAAGAAAGTGGGCCGAATACGTGGAGAACCCATCTCTTGGCTACTTGGGGTACGTTTCGTCATTTTTTTTCAATGCCCAGCCCTCCCCAAACTCATTTTGCGACACTATGCCTCTGACCACTGCGCTTAGACTGGCAAGACAAGCGCTCAAGTTTCTTCCATTCAAAGTGAGCTCACAAAAGAAGCTCGCGCTGTCCGAACATAACGTGCGCATCCGCTGCAGTTCCTGGCTCCCAGACCAGCGACAACCTAACTCTTCGTTCTTCCATCAGATTTGGTTAAGCACCGAGGAGGTTTTTCATTTAGACGTTTAGTGAACAGTCAAGACATTTTCCATCCAAGGCCTGATGGGGTTCGAGAAGCCCCACTGCATGGAAGAGAAGTGCAGAAGTGCAAGAGAGAAGCATCGCTCGGGCTACAACGCAAATCAACGCCTGAAATATGAACGATTTAAACATGTCCGCTCTTCCTGAAATGCGTTTTGTGCCCGGCGCCTACACGGCAATGCCACGCGGGTGGCGACGGTTAAACTACGCATTGTCTACGGATTGTTGACAATGGAAAGGCATCACTCAGCTAAGCTAACAACAATCTGGACCATTAAGAAGTGATAACGAGGGTCTTGTGATGACGGTGGCCGCACAACTCTACCGCCTCGTTCGGGAAGCTTTCCCCCAAGTCTGCTCAACTTCCCACGATACGCAAACAATCTGTTTTTATGGCGGCTGAGGGAGACATGGGTGCTGACAGAAGAACCAACGGACAAATAAGCGCTCCTTTTTGGTACAATGCCAACTATGGTGCAAAGTACGCCCTGCCACAAACGCGTGCCAAGGCCACTGTTTTTGACAGCGCCCGGGGATGAATAAGAACGGGGAGTGAAAGACAGGTAATAGAACTATCGCCTTTGGGGACAGGCTCTCCCGATCTTGAAGATGTCAGTAAATGATATGGTCGACACCTACATTGACCCAAAATTAAAACTTGACGATGGCACGTGTGTCCAGAGCGCAGAAGCCACACAGGCAAGGTGTTCATTGATAGGCTAAAGCATGCCAAGGCCACGTGTCACCGCCACATCAAGGCCCTCAGAAATAGCAAAAAGTGGCCGGAAGTATCGTCTACGTTTCTGTGATCATACCTTTAGCGTCCATGTCCAGAGTCTCAAGCATAGGCCCCCCCCCCCCCACACACCAGAACACCAATCCCCCCATTGCCACGTAATTCATATCATCCGCTATCCAGATTAGCACCATACCACGGAAGGGGGGGGGGGGGCGTTATCCACTAACACACCACCATACAGAACCCAAGGGCGCCGTGGCCGTCCAGAACTTTCGCGAACGCATTGATTGGGTGGATCTCTACCGATGAACGCAGACCGCAGCCAGCGGCGAGACAGTCCCCTCCACTTCTGTTACGGAGTGTTCTCCCTAGTCCTTGGCAAAATCGGCAAGTCGCATCTTGGCCGCCGTGGGCATGCATGGCTCACACCCACCCATAGAAACCACGGCACTCGCCAATTTTGCCAGCTTCCTAACAAACAGCGGGAGCGAGCCACAACAGGAGGCTGGGTCCTCGGCTGGGCCGGGAACTACTCTCTGGGGCGGCATACACCGCTGTTTATGCGCCGACGATGGCTCCCACCGAGACCGGCGTAGTTTGGCGGTCAGACAGCGGCGGTCAGACAGCGGCGGTCGGCAGCCAGCCAGGCAGCGGCGGTCAGACAGCGGCGGTCAGACAGCGGCGGTCGGCTGCCGGCCATACAGCGGCGGTCGGCAGCCGGCCAGACAGTGGCAGAAGGCTGCCGGCCCAGACAGCTGCGGTCGGCAGCCGGCCAGACAGCGGCGGTCGGCAGCCGGCCAGACAGTGGCAGAAGGCTGCCGGCCCAGACAGCTGCGGTCGGCAGCCGGCCAGACAGCGGCGGTCGGCTGCCGGCCAGACAGCGGGGTATTTCTCCCAGCCGACGCGTTCAACCGTCCCCGTCTCCACCCGGACACGAGGCCGCGCCCGGACATTACTCGCGGGCACCGGAGGAGGCCACGGTAAGGGGTGGGTGGCAGCGGCCGCATCAACTTACGCTTCAATTACCATAATTTTAACGTTTCTGCACTGGACGGTTGTCCGGACAGTTTTGCCACGCCAGTTTCTCTCAGCAATGACGACGGGAGCTGTCAGCCTCAGCAGACGATCAGGAGTCGAAGCTTCCGCTGCGGCCGACACGCGAACCGCCACAGCCCGGCTCGCGGCTGACGGCGCCGCGTCGGTCGCACTGGCACGGCGGTTCCAGCCGACCCGCGCGCTGGCACGGAGGCCCCAACCGACCCGCGCGCTGGCACGGAGGCCCCAACCGACCCCGCGCCGGCACGGAGACCCCAGCCGACCCCCGCGCTGGCACGGAGACCCCAACCGACCCGCGCGCCGGCACGGAGACCCCAGCCGACCCCCGCGCTGGCACGGAGGCCCCAACCGACCCGCGCGCCGGCACGGAGACCCCAGCCGACTCGCGCCGGCACGGAGGCCCCACTCGACCCCGCCCGCCGCATAAGCGTCAGCTTTGCGTCAACCCGCGCTCCGAGACGGTCCGAGTGTGACCGGTCAGCACGAGCACGCCCAGGCAGAGGCGCAGTGTCCTGGCGGTACCCGGCATGTCGACACCGCTCGCCAAAAACTGTCCGTTCAACTGGAATGTCACCATTGCCATGAAGTGTCGCAGTATTCGGCCACTATCGCACCCGGGTAGGGTATCCCTGCCTGCTGCTTCTCCCCTCGATCACAATCGGCCAATCAGCATCGAACCAGAAATGGTTTCCGAACGCCGCGTCGTTCGGAAACCATTCCGGAAAAACCTTCGGGGGGTCAATTTGGCCCCCCAACCGAGCGCGTGTTAATGAGACCAGACCAAGTGACATCACGTGCAGTAGCTCCACAACATCATCATCGTAAAAATAAGTTAACTCATGCCCGTCCTTCCATTGCCAAAGGCTTCGCCGTGAAAGCCCACGCCTTCGCGCAGGCGAGGTGCAGCTCCCGGCAACGTAAATCTAGAGAGAGAGTCGCTCACCCCTGGCCGGAGTACAGTCGCGGCGGTCCTCAAGACCATCGCTGCCCAAGCAGAGGATGCCTTGTAAAAAGAGTTAGAAGCACGTGTCAGAGGTCGATAAGCAAACATGACTGATGATCCCTAAATCGCAAGATCTCGTTGGGATCAAGACATTGTTTCCGCTAGGCTCCATCCGTCTTCGTTTGGAAACGGCAGGAGGGTGGCATCGACCCCTCACGCGTTTATTATTATGCCCTATGTGTTATAAAAGATGGCGAACCAGGGCGAGAGTAAAACGCTATGCGTTTATTCCACCTTTCAGCAACCGTCGGTTACATTCACCACTGATTACTGGACGGAGAAGGAGACGTGTACTGAATACCTGTCTGCCACGGCTTTCTTCGCTGATGCCAGCTGGGCTCTGAGATCCCCACGCTGCAGATCTTTGCCGCTGAAGGAGCGCAAGCGCATGCGTTACTGATCGGTCAGTTTTTGCAATGACGCTCTGTCTTATTAGCAAGTATTAAATTAGCACCCTTTTCGTTTTGCTTGTGTGAAAAATTAATAATGTTTGAACTTAGGTCGCATGTTGCCGAGCCGGATGGTTAAGGGAGATACCATTCATCATCTTGTCACTTCAAGTGACCAACAAAATAACGTCGTCCTTGGCAGGTTGCGCATTTCCTGCAAACTGTCCCAGCACCTACGCTCGAGGCTATCATCAAAGTGCTGCAGTTTATTCAAGCTGCTACGGACGACTGGAGCGAGATGAGGCGACGGCCCTAATGGCGCCTGTCGCCCAGGAACAAGACCCTGCGCGCGCTAGCGCCAGCGCTGGACGACGGCGACTTCGCCACCCGTGAGATTATACAGGACGAGTGAACACGTCATGTGGTTGACTAAGAAGCTGGTAATCCGCAAACAAGTTATGCGTAAACTGTGAGTAGATCTTTTCTTGTGTTTTCTGAGGATGGCAATGGAACGTGGAGGGAAACGCGCGAGGTGCCTCAGACTGGATCGTGAGAGTGAGTTCAAACCTTTCCATAATCCCGCAGTGCTCAATCTGATTGTGGAGGACATAATGCTGCTATTTACTGCACTGGCTTTCTTCCAGATGAAGCGTCACCCACTCCATTGGATGAGGGCAAAGTTTGTAGTGAACGACGGACATCTGGCTGCTGTGCTTCGTCCGCGCTACCGAAGCAGTTCAGCATCGGTCCGTGGAGAAACAAGGACGCATCGAAAAACTGCTCATAGAAGAGATGTTGAGGCTGGATGCCAGGGCCACTGCGGCGTCGGCCATGGAGAAACCGCATCAACAAGTATATAGCTAAGCACAAGTGTGAAAGTGATATCTTTAGAGTTTATGTCGCTTTATTTCTCGACAAACGGGAAACTGAATACGAAGTCCTAGAATGGCTGACTAAGTGCATGTATGACCTTACAACTATGTTGCTAGCGTCTGTGAGCGGGGCAAAAAAAAATCCTACCATCACACATGTATTACTAGTGGTCACTACCAAACAAATACGCACCCTGTCAAACTACATCGGCTCGAACGTGCCGCCAGTGGCATCAGCTCACAGCCCGCCGCAGCCGAGCATGTGCCGCCAGTGGCATCAGCTCACAGCCCGCCGCAGCCGAGCATGTGCCGCCAGTGGCATCAGCTCACAGCCTGCCGCAGCCGAGCATGTGCCGCCAGTGGCATCAGCTCACAGCCTGCCGCAGCCGAGCATGTGCCGCCAGTGGCATCAGCTCACAGCCCGCCGCAGCCGAGCATGTGCCGCCAGTGGCATCAGCTCACAGCCTGCCGCAGCTGTGCGTGTGCCGTCGCTAGCTGCGACGGCGTCATTGCAGTGGCCAGTCCGAGCTGCAGTCTTCGCAGACTTCCGACTGCAGTGGCCAGTCCGAGCTGCAGCCGCCTCAGACTTCCGACTGCAGTGGCTGGCCGTGGTGGGGACTCGCTTCGCTGGCCAGCGCCGACTCAGAACTGCAGCCATCGGCGGTGCTGGCCGTAGCGTCACGGGAGGCCAGCCGACGGCACCGGCCCGACCGCGACAGCACGCGACACGCCTGCGGCACACAGTACATGAATGACGCGACCGTGAATAGGGTCTAGTGGCGCCAGTAAGCATATCTGAGGTCTTATCACGAGAATCTGCTCCATTTGAGGTTAGACATGGTTGTCGCAGGTCGACGTAGAGCCTGAGGCCAGGCACTGCCTGCTGCCTGCGTTGAAATAAACAGCATCTGATCAAGTGGAGAGACATCAGCGCACGCCTTCATGAAATGCATCTTTGAAGGCGGTGCGCGATTCGCTGCCCTATTGTACTTTCCCTTTCATGATCCTGTATCCTACAGGCACCAAATATGATAACCAATGCTGGTCACCGTGAGCTGAGCGTGCCAACGCAACTTTGTCATGACCGCACCAGGGACCAGCCGCAGATCCCGAACCCAGCCGACTGGGCACAATCGACAGCCAATCAAATGCAAATGATCACTTAATACTCCCCCACATGCTCAATAAATACTTCAACTCAGAAAACAACTTTTAAGCCAATATAATGCGGTACTTTGAATTCCAAACAATGCACAAACAGCCTGCACAGACCATAATCAGCCACACATTCCACAAATAAATTTTCTGATGAAATATCCCATTGCCAAACTGATATGAATGACCGGCACTCAAATATGCTCCTCTAGAAAACTAGAGCTTCCATTCTTCCTGAAGAAATTAGAACATATGATGATCTAATATCCCAGCTTGCCCCAACATACCTACTAGTGCTGCAACTTTTTGGACGTGGAAAGCCCACGTCCGCCCGACACCAAAATTTTGAAAGCCACCTCGCCCTGTATGGCAACTTTTGGGAACAAATCCCGTGCAGGTCTGCAAACATGGTTTTTATTCCTAGTGAATATTTCCAATTTTACCATAATTTTACTTCCGCAACGAGGAGCTATGACAATTCTTCAAGGTTATTTGTTGTTGTTGTTCACTTTTCAAGACTAGGCTGAGAAACACTGTACTAAGACACTGTAACACCGTAGTCCAACAATGGGGAAGACCTATTTGTCATTCCTGGCACATATGCTTGTACATTCTGTGACGGCTGCCAAACTGTACATTATTCAGGAAGTAGTACGCCGTCGAACTGGACACTCATTCTGCAACGCATGGAAAGCATTCATTACTTGACAACTAGCCATACACAGCATTGCAGCCCTGGGAGCTAGCATAAGGGCATGCAGCGTGCAGCAACGACGGCGTCCTACGACCGCATGCACCAAGCGACCACCATGCAAGACAATACGGCATGCGACAAGAAGAGCACGTGCACAATCACCACGACATGCACATGCAACACGTCACAATATACCTATATATTACTTGACCTAAAAGTCTATAACACTATACAAAACTACAACAAACATACCAATATCTGTTGCTTGAACACTTGTTTTCAAAGAAACGGTTGTTGTTGAAGCTATCACATTTCATCTATTTGAAGGCAGAGAAGTTTAGCTGATTGCCAGGAAATGTATTATTTTCAGAAGGGCCAAAACATACTGTTTTCTTGGTCAAAAGTATGAAATCTTACGTGCAAAACAACATCCTTGTGTCTCTAGAAGGCGCGATGAAATAGGATAAAGACAAAGACCTTGATAGTAAGGAAATATAACAACAGTGTTTTTCTGGAACACATCACTTGCCTTGCATATACATTTGTTCTGGCAGATACCTGTTGGATCAGTTGAGGCAGAATGCCTCATTTGAAGCTGATGTTAACCCATAAATTTGGCTGACTGGGTAGGCAAACAAAAACGTTGTTGTTTCCACAGAGTTAGCTAGTTTCAGTTTTCTCAGATAGGAGCTTGGATTTCAAAACTTTGTGGCGTGCTTTCTACCAACAAAACGACTTCCTGTCCTGCTTAAAGCCTGAAATGCAATGTCACCTACCGGGATTGGAGGGAGAAGCTCGCCATTTTTTGCACTTTTCACTTGCACCCTTGCACCAGACGTGCATGTAAACTGATCAGCGTAAACTGCAAACAGCGTGCGAATGATCGGGAATATCAATTTTCTTGAAATCCGTCTGAATGGCTCATAATTCTTATTTGAAGATTCCTATAACCAGCCTTGCAGGAGGAAGCTCACTTATTTCCCTGCACACCACTCTGAAAGCAATATCTTTCATTTTCTTTTTTCCAGCGTGTGTATTAAAACGTTTGGTGTAGACAACAAGATATGCAAACATGAAGCTATCATCCTACGAATTCAACGAAATGTTATACTTTTGCTTTGATTTCACCCCAATGGTGGTAATTTCTTTTCACAGTGGCTCTTTTCAAAGTGCGCTTTAGCTTTAACACACGCCCGGGTGTGTTAGATACCCCTCGCTCGGGTGGGGGGGGGGGGGGGGGACAATTTGCCCCATGAGATCTCGGGAACCAAGAAAGCTAGAGGCACCAAATTTACAGGGCGTCTTGACCTGTACGTGAACTCACTTAGGTCAAAGTTTTAGGTTCCTAGATCGCGACCTTTTGGTAAAAAAGGTTAAACAAGGTCAAGTTCCGGGTTGGTCTCCAAAGCGCCCCCAGAACCTAGATAACCGTTTCTAAGCAAAAGGTTACATTCTCATTTAGGGTCAGTGACCTCGTTTGACCTTTTGAAGGTCAAGGTGACCAAAATCATACAAGATTGCCTTGAGTTTTGCATTTGACTGAGCGACAAAGATTACACTAGACAGTATGTACTTAAAACGAAACGTTGACCTGGGTCATTTTCGGTCAATGACCTACTCTGACATCTAAGAAGGCCATGAAAGATGCATAATGCGGTTCCTGCAATCAATAATCTCGAAATGAGCACCAGAAACTATCCCATACAATAAGCCCTAGAGTAACAAAACAGCTTGGTTTTGACCGTGGTGCGACCTTCATACCTGACCTTAGGTCAATAGAATTTGCTCATTCAACTGTTATGTTGCCTAAGAAAAGATCTCAGAGATGTATGGCTTTGTCTAACACTCCGTTGTTAGATCAGAATGAAGGCTTCCCTAGAAATTGCCTTCGCTGAAACCATGGTCTGACTTTGACCTGCCATAGGTGAGCCACCTTACAAGGTACATCTAAATTTTTGATGCCAAACGATCCGCTATGTCATGGTCTACAGCTATGCAAAATTTGGTGCGGCTACGTTGCGCCGTTCTGGAACAATTCTGGAAAAACCTTCGGGGGGTCAATTTGACCCCTCCCCACCCGAGCGCGTGTTAACACGCGCTCGGGTGGGAGAGGGTCAGCTTGACCTCTCCCCCAAGGTTTTTCCGGAATGGTTTCTGAACAGTGCAGCGTAGCCGCGCCAAAGTTTGCATAGCTGTAGACAACTGAATAGCAGATCGTTTGGTATCAAAAACTGAGATGTTCGTTATGAGGTGACTGACCTACAGCAGGTCAAAGCCAGGTCACAGATTCAGCGAGGACAATTTCTAGGGAATCATTCAATCTGATGCAGCAACGGAGTGTTAGACGAGGCCATACATCTCTGAGAAAGCTTCTTCGACAACACAGCAATTGAATGAACGACTTCCTTTGACCTAAGGTTGGGTGGGAAGTTCAGGCCAAGGTCAAAACCAATCTGTTTTATTACCCTTGAGCTTACTGTATGGAGTAGCTTCTGGCGCCAATTTCGAATTTATTGGTAACAGGAACCGCATTATGCATCTTTCACGGGCCTTTGAAAGGTCCGAATAGGCCACTGATCTAAAATGACCCAGCTTAACATGTTATTTTGTACATACCACTCAGCGTATTTTTTACGTTTGTTCAAGTGCAACAAGTGCAAGAGTCCAGGCATTCTTGTTTGACTTTGGTCACCACGACCTTCGAACGTTCAAACAGATTCACTGACCTTAAATGAGTACCAGCGACCCTTTGCTCGGGACACTGTCTAGATGCTGAGAATGCTTTTAACACAACTCTGAGGTTTGACCCTGTTGGACCTTATTTTACCCGAAGGTCATGACCTAGGAACCCCAAATTGTTACGCAGGTGAGTTCAAGTACAGGTAAACACAGCCTACAAATTTGGTGTTTAAGCTCTCTCAGTTTCTGAGATCTGAGGAAGTCAAACTGACCCCTCACTCGAGCGAAAGGTATTCAGCTGGCCACCCGGGCGCCTGTTAAGAATAGAAGCATCACGTGACCCATGTGGCACGCTGGCTCAAACTTCCACTAGTGTGCTTCTCGGTAACAGGACCTCGTCCGCTTGGCCAATCACAAGAGTTCTTTTATTCACACCAGTGGAGGTGCGCACGGTAGTTGCATGCAATTCCCGCGCATTACTGCATTCTGGGTAGGCGACAACGAACTCCAGCCGGAAGTGCTTAGAAGCCGTCTGTGTAAAGCAGAACATCATACAACATCAACATAGGGTGGAGATGAGAAACGGCGGCCCAGACGGGCTTGCAGCACCCTGGGACGCCCATTGAGAAACTAGAATGCATATCCTGTAGCCAGAGAAGAGGCGTCGCCAAGGTAGACGCAGAATTGGCTTCCCCTAATGGAGGCAATTAGGGGTGAACCCCGGGAGGTGTGCGTGCAGAGCGCGTCATTTCAGTTTAAGATGGCCGATTTTCCTGTAAAATAGGACGATTTCTGGTAAGTTTTGCAGCTTTCTGCCAGTCAGAGAGTGGTGGCCCATATCCCAGCTGGGAAATAGTCTTAGGGATACATAATACGATAAATGGACAATTATTGCCGATTCATAAATTTAATGCAGACATTACACATGCTATCCATTTATTTACAAATCAATATACACCCCACAAAGAGGCATTGCACACAAATGTTCAGGCACGTTGGATACGACAAGTATGGTGCGGATACTGGGCCTAGAAAACGTCGTTTAGTAGGGTCTATTTTTGGAAGCAGATCGTAGTACTGATTTGTCTTTAGAAGGTTTAACTATGCAAAATGTACACCATCTGTTCACATAACATTGAAAAAGTAGAACAGGATTGCTGTGACGTCACGCCTGCGTAGCCTTTTCCAGTAGCCTTGGTTGCA